CTCAGGCCCACAAGAGGCGACAATATTGAGGTTAAGTGTTTAGCTACATTATAAGTAACCGAGTCTATACTGCTGACTATGGGTCGTAGCGGGACGTTTTCTTTGTGGATTTTTGGTAGACCGTAGATTAGCGGGGTGGCCTCGCCTGGATAAAGTTTGAAATAAAGTTGCTGGTTAATTAGTTTATCTTTTTGTAACTTTTGTAGGCTTTTGACAATTTTGTTCTTGTATGTATTGGTTGGGTCGCCTTTTAGTCTTTTGTAGGTTTTCGTGTCGCTAAGCAAGTTTGAGATCTTAAGATCGTAATCTGCAGTGTTAAGTATAACTGTGCATCTGCCTTTGTCTGCTGGTAATATTGTGATGCTATCTTCTGTTTGGAGTTCTGCTAAGGCTTTTCATTCTTCTACTGATATGTTCGAGGGTGGCGGTTTTGCTGTTTTTAGTGAGGAGGCTACACTCAGGCGAATGTCGTCTGCTTCTGCTTTTGATAACTTGTTACTTTTGATCGTTGTTTCTACCGCTGTGATGTAGTCTGTTTTTGGTATGTTGTTCGGTTTAACTGAAAAGTTCAGGCCTTTGGCAAGCACTGTTTTCTCTGCTTCTGATAAGTCACGATTTGATAGTTTTTTACCCACAGGTTCAGATGACGACTGACGGAACCCTTTCTACCGGTGTAGCTCCTGAAAACAGCTTACAAATATTTAAACCACCTCCTTGAGGTGGGTTAAATTTGCTCCGGAGCAAATGCTCGCTTGCGGAGCAGCACCGATGTAAATTTGCACGTGTGAACTATACAATTTGCTCCGGAGCAAATGCTCGTTTGCGGGGAGTAGCCTGACTACGCATGAGAAGAGTTGATTACATACGGCGAGAATGCGTTGCTTTCGTGCCCTGTTGTACTTCCATCATGTGTTTGTTTAATAATGACACAAGACATGGCTGGTAACAGTAGCAAGCGGCACCTCTTGGGTTATACCAGCTCAACTTGAACAGGGAGGGGGGGGGATAGTCCCCAAACGTCATCTTTCCTTTTGTAGGAGACTGGACTGTCTCGGAGTTGTTTGTGTAGTTTGTTCCTTTGTTGTGTGTTGACAACCCCCCGCCCCCCATAGAATTTATTTTGTGATTTCCTCTCTTGATTTTCTGTTTGGCGCATTATATGTTTGCTTTTCTGAGTGTCATTGAAGTCATCGTTGATTTACGTTTTTGGGCGCGGTCACTCTCGAGCAGAAGGCACGGAGACCGAGAAGGAGAGGGACGTGTCTGTATCGTAGTTGCTTGAGTTGTGTATGTTTTAAAAAGAACCAACACGACAGCTCTTTGTTTTCTCTCGTTTTGCTCCGCTGCAGAAACTGCCATGTGACCGCAAGTGGAGCTGCACCGATGCTGCGCCGGTGCTAACACGTTCAGCGGCTTTGTACGTGTGACCGCTCCACAAAATTTGCCCCGGTGTAAAATATATTGCAACAAAATACATCGGTGCAGCGCCGGAGCAAATGTGTGCCGTGTGAACACCCCTTCTGTCGAACCCCTGAGACTGATTCACCAAACCCATTGGGTTCGATCGAACCCAGGTTACGAACCACTGATCTAGAACAAGATCTGTTTTTTTTTACTTTTGGGATTTGCTTTCATTTTCCTGACACTTAACAAGCTTTAAAATTGTTTTTTTCCCCAGCAGGTTTTTATCTCAAGTAGAGTTTTTTTAAGTGATATAAGATGACCTACCTTGCTTTTTCGTGTGTTTTGGGGCCATTGTCTTGTTGAAACACCCACTTCAAGAGGTTATCTTAACCGCATTAGGCACAATGACCTCCTCAAGTATTCTGCTGTATTCAAATGGATCCATGAATGCTACTGTGCGGTAAATAGTATGGAAAAAAATTATATTATGCGTCTGACCCCATGCTTCACTGTCTCCACAGTGTATTGTGTATTTGAAATCAATGCAAACAAATGATGCTAGACCCAAAAAGAATGTTGTTGTTTCCATCAGTCAACAAAATATTGCACATCTCTAGAGGCCAGCACATGTGTTCTTTGGTGACTTGAACCTCTTTTTTGAACAATCTGGGAGCTAATCACAAGGTGGTGACTGGTTGACAGTTCAAACTCACTTCTCACTTAAGTGTCAAGGGTGTGTGTTCTGAAGATGGAGCGACTGATTCAAGTTTATTCCTGGTGTTAATCACAGACAGACTAGGATTACAACAGTGGTCCAATCACAAAGCGACTCAAATTATGTTTCTCCAAGCAACATTGTCATTGCATGGCCCTCCTGCATCCCGCCACCCATTTAACGTTCTCTAACTCATGCGTATGTGTAATTCCACATGAGTTTCTTGACTGTGCTATAGCAGTTGCTGTCAAGTGAGGGATAAAAAAAAAAACTAATGAATGCATTTTTACCTCCCTGAAGATTATTATGTTTTAGTAATTCTAAAATGTTTTATGATGTGAACCCTTTTACGGACAGCAGTTATCATGGTATCAGGTTACAGGGTGCATGAAAGGGTTCATTTCAAGAGGAGTAAAGTCGCCGGGGTCAGAACTCCTATGAGTAGGTTTTCCAGTGTTCATCTGATCTACTGATTCGTCACCCAATACACTCTGTGTCTTTAAGTGCCCTTTCCATGGCCGTATTGTTCCGCGAGATCAGGAGGGTCGGCCCTGCAGCCAGGAGGACCGTCAGAGAGAAGAGCAGCATAGGATGAAGACAAAGAAGAAACATGGTAAGTCGATTGAATGTTGCACAAAGAATATTTTTCTCAGTTTAGAAAATGACTATTATTATTTACATCACTCAGACACTATAATGGGGGTCTTCAGTCTAATTTAGTTTCGTGAAGCAGAAATGTGTGAGAGTGACATAGTTGGTGGTGTTTCCTATTCATCTTTTATTTTAATTCATCTTCTATGTAGCTATTCTAATGGCCTGCCTCCCAAAGTGCAAACATTAAAAATATGTACCGTGCTGCAAAAAAAGCGCCCGATCTCTGGCAATGCAAGTTAAGGTACCGTATTTTCACGACTCTAAGGCGCCATTAAAAGTCTTAAATTTTCTCCAAAATGGACAGGACGCCTTATAATGCGAGCGTCTAGTGTATGCGCCGAGTTCCAAAGCCTGATTGAGAGCACGTCTGGCCGACACGCTGTTTATAAAGAGAAAAGGCGGACGTGAGTGACGACAGGCATGCGGAAGTCCGCCAATGAGTGACGGGTGGGCGTGTAAGAGGACGCTAAAGCCACACCCCGAGCAGGTACCAGTCGCCAATGAGTGAAGGGTAGGCGTGTAAGAGGACGCTAAAGGCACGCCCCTATCAGGTGCCAGTCGCGTGAGTACATTGTAAAATGGCTAAATAAAGTTCAACCGAACTCAGTTTCTCTTCCGTTGCCTTTTTAAAAACGTGTTTTTAGCGTGTGTCCGTATGTCTTAGCTGCTTCCGTATGCTTTAAGCTAACACACCTGGTATGTTTTAGCGTGCAGGCATGCTACCGTATGCTTCAAGCTAGCGTGTTTTTAGTGTGTGTGCATGCATGCCGTATGTTTAAGCTGGCGTATGTTTTACCATGCCTGGCTGCGCCCAATAATACAGTGCGTTTTGTGTATGTGTCAAATACAGAAATAGCACCCGTTACTCAGACTGCGCCCCACAATACGGTGCACCGAATGGTCGTGAAAATACGGTAGTTTTATTTATATAGCACATTTCATACACAGGCGACTGGTTACCGCGTCGACTTCACAGTGCAGAGGTGGAGGGCTCGATTCCGGCCTCCGGCCTTGCTGTATGGAGTTCGCCTGCTCTCCCTGTGCCTGGGTGCGTTTTCTCTGGGCACTCCGGTTTTCACCCACATTCCAAAAACATTAATGGGATGGGTTAATGGAACACTCTAAATTGTCCTTTGGTGTGAGCATGAGCACAGGTGGTTGTTCGTCTCTGTGTGCCCTACGATTAGCTGGCAACTGGTTCAGGGTGTTCCCCACCTACTGCCCGAAGACGGCTGGGATAGGCTCCAGCATACCTGCGACCCTAGTGAGTATCATGAGTTCGGGGAATGAATGAATTAGTAAAATAACCAGAGAATCACCAACTTGTTTTTGATATCAATGTTGGTCTTAATGGTCCAAATTAGTCTTTCCGTGGCCCCTGGACTACAATGAGTTTGTTACCCCTGATTTAAGGGATTACTAGTTAAAAATTTTACTTACAGTAGGCATGAGTGTAGCCAGTGAAAGTGATCACAACATCCCAGAAAACTGCATTTTGTATTTACTTGGGTTTTTTTGTGAGCAATTAGCTTGATGACCCAAAATGTCTTAAGTGAGACTAATAAAACAACAACAACAACAAATCTGGAAGAGTTTGAATACTTTTTCTCTGTACTCTGAGACTTGCAAAAGTATTCAACCCTCTTGAACTTTTTGACCCATCGCCACATTTCCGGCTTCAAACATAAAGATAAACTTTTGTAAAAATAAAAAACTGAAAAGTGCGGCATGTGATATTATTCGGCCCTTTTAACTGTCGATGCAGCCCATTCAACGTTGACCTAAATGACGGATGATGATAAATAGAGTCCATCTGTGTGTAATCTCGTGTCAGTATAAATGCACCTGCTCTGTGAAGGCCGCATAGGTCTGTGAAAAGATTATTACGGCACAAACAGCATGAACACTAAGGAACACGCAAGGCAGGTTATGGAAAAATTTAAAGCAGTATTAGGATCTGAAAAAAATTAACAAGCTTTAAACATGTTTAAACAAGCGCTGTTCGATCAGTCAGATTAAAATGGAAAGTGTATCAGACCACTGAATACCTACCAAGAGCCGGCCATACCTCAAAACTGACGGCCCAAACAAGAAGAGCACTGATCAAAGATGTTGCCAAGACGCACATGATTACTTCGAATGAGATCTCCACAAGTAAGGTGGGGGAATCTGTCCATTGGACAACTATTAGTTGCACACCGCACATATCTGGCCTTTATAGAAGAGTGGCAAGAAGAAAGCCAGATGTCAACGACGCCCATAAAAAGTCCCATTTGAAGTTTGCCAAGCCAACTGGGGGACACAACACGCTGAATATTTTTTATGCATTCCAGCAGTAAAGATTTTAAGCTCATAACAAGACTCAAATTATAGCTTCAACCCTAACAAAACATGCATATTAAATACAATTAAATACTGTCACACAGAACAAAATCTGACCCTGAGCATGTTAAAGTTGTAACTGACGATATTTTAAATCATTCATCAATAAATGAATGCACCAAATATTGGATTGATGTTGATTTGATTCCTATTTAATGTGTTGTAATATTGCATTATTTTTCAATGTTAAAAAAAACGCTTATGGTCACAATGGTAACACTTAATTGTTAAAATACGCTTTTTTCACATTTTCAGGTAGTGGTGTGCCGCGGGATTTTTTCAATGAAAGAAATGTGCCTTGGCTCGAAAAAGATTGAAAAACACTGGTTTAAATCCACCATGAAACATTTATGCAGGAAAAGTGTTGGACCAAAAATCAGGCCAAACTGATTAAAGACATTCAATTTTTCAAATTACACATTATACTGTAGTTGTATTAGTTGTACAATGAACCCCCACATACTCACAGATTCCTGAGTATGTTGAACCCCCGCCACCCCCCAACTCATTTTGTTCCAATATTTAAAATTTGGGTTCTCTAATTTTTTTTGGATCTGCGTTTCCCGTTAAAAAAAAAAGTATATTGGAGGTTAATTATCATTTTTTGAAGAATTTTAGGGGTTTAGAAAATAAAACGTCTTCTTTTCCTATTGCATTTCAATGACCATCAATTGCACTCAGATTTTGACTATTCACTGGCTGACCTGGTTCTTATCTGCAAATGGCGGGTGTCCACTCTGCCTCATATATATCCATTATGAGGAACATATTTCAAGATTACCAGAGTACAACATGCAATGTGAGTGATATAACTCACGACTAATCGTATCGCAATGCATGTATGAATTTCTAGTAGCTGAGTGCAAGTGGCTCATCTGTGAAGCATTGTTTGCGCTCCCTTTTCACTCTCTCTCTCCTTGTATGCCTGCATGTGTGTGTGATCTGGTGCTCCGTGGTGCGCCACAAAACATGTACTGTACAGCAGAGTGCAATTTGTATTTTCCGTTGAGGGATTATAATTAGTAAAATATATATTTTAATTATTAAATTAGTAGTGTCACAGGTGCAGACTGTCCATGCACTGAGAGCGATTGTAATGAGCTAAGACCTGAAACTAACCAAAGGCACACCATGTGTGTTTGTACTCATGTGTGTGGTCTGCACTCTGATCCCCTACTTAGACACAAACTTGTAAAAACAAATAGAGAGACCCCGTCTGAGGTGGCTCGAGAGTGTTGAAAGAGAAACGGGCACCGCTGCAACATTGATACCAGATACGCATTTCTCTGGCTTATCCTTTTGAGTTGGTTAAAAAAAAAAATCCACATTCTCTTGTCTTTCTTAGTGTTTTTATTACCTGCCCCCCTTCCTTTCTTCTTCTTGAACGCCACACAATAATTGGTCTTCCTGCCAGTTCAGTCTTTGGGATAGACAGAAAGCAAGCCAGAATGAAACTTCCAAGAAAGCGAATGATGATGATTCATTTCTTGTAGTTTTTCTTTAACTTTTGTATGGATTTTATGAGCCAGAGCTTCTGTGCTCAAATTGATTTGAGGTCAGACAGAGTTCAGAAGATTTGCTCGCAGACATTGACTTCAGAATACGGTGTAGAACTCTGTGTATTGTTCATATAAACTGGCTGGGCGGGTGGGATCATTGAGGAATATTTGTCAGACCTCCAACTTTTTTTTTTTTTTTTAATAATGTGATGCACTGAGATTCTTTACCGCAAAGTTATTGTCAGAGATTTTCTCGGACAAAGTTAAAGAAATGACTCGGCACACAGGAAAATTGCCTT